TCCTGTTAAGCAGTAAAAAGAAGGGATTTTTGTGATGAGGCTTATACATCATTATAAATATAGTAATAGAACATTTGAAATGGCAAAACAACTGGTTATTCTTAAGAAAATAAATGCATGGTGGTTTCTTTGCACTTAACATTCTTCAAAACATATGGATATTACAGTGAGAAAGGACTCCAGAAAAATAAAAAAGCCCACGCTGTCAGCTAATGGAGAGGCCTGTATTGTGTCTCTTCACATTTAACATCTCAGGTTTCAGTCTGTAAAGGAGACCCATAAATTATCTTGTCCAATTTAGAGTCACAGCTACAGATTCATAAAAAAAAGTTGCGGAGTCTTGTTCTCTGGAGAAGTTACTCAAAACCCACTTGGAAGCCATCCTGTGCAACCTGTTCTAGGTGATCCTGCTCTAGCCAGGGGGGTTGGACTAGATGATCTCCAGAGGTCCCTTCCAACCCCTACCAATCTGTGACTCTGTAATCCTAGTCTGAAAGAAGAATTCTCCAACCGTCCCATCAGCTTCTGCAGCATATTAAAGGATTATAAGGAAGTCATCACAATCATTGAGAGATTACTACAAGAGGCAATAATTACCAGTCAATCTTGGATTTAAGGATTTATATGAATTTGATGGAGCAACTTCAAGAATTTAAATGCTTACTTTTTCCTGATATTAAAATGGATTTTGCTGAGTTTAAATCCAGACCTACGGAAGCAGTGTTTAAACTACTTATTTAGAGATTATAAAGGCCATTCTCTCCAAGGTTATTAGTCTGATTCCAACCACGCCTGGATTATCAGGAACTACTGTTCTCAGGAAGCAATGCATTTTAACCAAAAGCACAATGGCATTTCTTTTGGGAAGCAGATATATACCATCAGCAGAGCCACAGTAACCAACAAGGCGGTGGGAGATGAGGACACTCCTGCCAGCTCCTCCTGCTGCTCCCGCAGCCACAGCCGGGGAAGCACACAGAGCTCCTCACCCACCCTGAGCCAAAGAGCATGTCCTCCAGCTCTCCAGAACTGCTGTTTCCATAAACAGCCTTTCTATTTACGTTTCAGGTTTTACGACATGAACCTCACTGATCCAAACATGGAATTACGTAGCATGGGCTCCCTGGACGCATCTGGCACTCTTACAAATGTTCCATGAATATGCATGTGAAAACACTTCTCACAATTAGATGCTGGACAACACTCCTTTGTACAGTATTCTGTGCTGCTTACAATCTTTCTACAGGCTTGTCCTCTCACCCAGTTATCACATGATTAACAGAAAGGTCACCACAAAGTTGTTTTTTTTTTTTTTAATAAAGAAGCTGAGCTACCAGAACAACACTTGTGTTATCTCAACCAACTGGATTTAATAGACAGTCTCTCTCTTTTTTCTTTTGTAAACTAGAATACAATTAGAAAATGTTATTCTGGATTACTACAGTAGTTGTTGCCTTTAAATGGACATAGTCTCTGGGCAAGACGGGAAGGCTAATTTCTCTCAAAACCAGAATTATTGGGTTGAAGAATCTGTAAACATTTTCTCATGCTCCCTTTTTAGTGATCTTCCATACAGCTTAGGTAACACCTTTGGGGTCTTTACTGTCCTTTGTGTAGATGTTAAAAGGAGCAAAATGTTGATGTCATTAGTTTTTAAATATTAACTTTTTAAACCAAACATTTATTTATTCTTCAGCCTGGTAGACAAGTCAGAATTTTAAATGAGAAAATGTTTGCCTAGAAAAACAAACACCACAACCAAGATTCCAGTTCTAAAAGTGCCTATTTCTAGCTCTGATTGTTCCAAATATATTTATATGATTGTTCTGAGATTCTAAGGGTGGGGAAGCAATAAAGAATAATAGGAGGAAATACAAAGCAGGAGACACAGAGTGCTCAAGATCTGATAAGAACTTAGAAGAAAAATCTTTTTGATTACAGTGGGGCTACTCAGGGCAGTGGTGGGCAAGACAGACTGATTCTTCATGTAACAGCATCCAGCATGTATGCCACCACACTACGCTCTGAAAGTACCAGCTCAGCCTGGGAGGTTAATACCACCATGACGTTTTCTCCTGCAGAACTGAAAAACCCATAAAACATCCCAGAAGTCAGAGTACACACAGAAAGCTGAGCAGAGCTGGTTGTTCTCATTCCTGAACTCCATTTGGTTTTGGTTTTTCTGAGCATAAAAAGGGTTTCTTTTATTACAATATACAGCTTCAGTGGTCCAGCTCACTCTCGGTGAAAATCCAAGAGATTGTTTGTATGAAGGTTGTAACAATAACCATGACCTATTCATCCCTACAAAAAGAGGATTTCTTTTAGAAAGATGGAGGTTCCAATACAATTTTCTGGAGATGAACCTCCACTGAGGTATTAACACTTTTTTTTTTAAAAATAAAAAACCCCCACCAGCCATAGAAGCATTATTTGTTTTACAGAAACAACCTTTTATTCCTTGACCTCTCATTAAGGAAGTCCTGTCTGACCACAGTAGCATGTTCTTTAAACAAATCACATTCCATTTTTTGGAGTAAGACCATATTCTAGTAATAGTCCCATTATCACTTACAAGGCGCAGTTACTGTCCTACCCATACTGCCAGGTAGTAACGGGGTTGTTTGGGTTTGGTTTTGTTTTAAATAGCAACAACCAAATACACACAAATTGCAATCCACAGGCTCACTGAATAAATTCTAATGATGAAAGAGATGAGATACATAAATCATGCAACTAAATGGAATTAACAGTTTGTAATAGAGACAGATCCTTAGCTCTAAAAAGTTCACAAAACTTAACTTAAAAATAATGCAATTTAACACAGCAAAAAATTTTCTTCCTTAAGAGGTGAGTAGTAACGGAATGGAAGAGGGGCACAATTTCTGACTGACATAAGGTAACAAAGGCGCTCAGCAGCACTCTTGTTTTGTAGCTGCCTGTATCCAAACCTCTAACTTTTAACCCAACACCTGAGCTTTTTTTCCTCCATCACCCAGGTGCGCAGGGGACACGAACGCTTCCCAGTCTCTGCTGCCCTGCTAATTTCTCAGAGATAGGAGTGTCCCCTGCAAAAAGAGATCCCCTGCTAAAAGTCCTATCAAAGATAGGACTGCCCTGTGCCTACAGACACCACTCTCCAAGGTAACAGGTCACCCTGGAGTCAAACAAGACCACAGATAATAAAGACCTATTAATATCCTCTTCTCACAGTTCCTTTGAAGCAACAAAAATCAGACAGTTTCATTAATAGAAATACGAGATTGTTACCTTTTAAATAACAGGCAGGCTACTTGGCATTCCGATTCCAATTTTCCATGAGGAAAAATAGGTCTGTGCTGCTTCAACCACTGTATGTAAACAGATGCAGTTAATCTTGAGACAGGCTGGTACGGATCTTTTGAGCACTGCCTGCACGCTCAGCTGGGGCACGTACATCACTCCCACACAGCCCTGGGCTTTCAAAGAGTCAGAGGGAAGAAAATACAGAAATCACCATCTCCCTGAAGTCATCTAATTCTGCTCATAGACAAACATAAATATATAAACAATGCGGGCACAAATGGCTAACAAAGTAATATTTAAAAGGAACAATCAAGTAATTTAACATTTTAAATTACATTAAATAGCTCACCTTCACTTTAGAATTAAAATGCTGGCAAAGCCTTTGTGAAATAGATTGTATAAATTCTAAGAGTTCAACAAAGGAGACATTGTTATTAATGCTTAGTAGATACAAATACATTATTCATTAGTAGAACTCACATTTGGGTTTTATTATACTCCATAAAATATACAGGAATCTTGAAGTACTGAGAGTGCAGGTAAATACAGTATTCAAGCAGTCACTATTTCTATGTACATGCTCATTAATTCTTCAAAAACCTCACAAAATTATCAAATAGATCAAAATATTGTCCCGTGTTTCCACACTATGTTCAGAAAACCAGCTGATAATTTACAATATCATAAAGATCTCCAGTTTCACAATACAAAAAGGATAAAAAGGAAATTGGAATCAGTTTGTAGTAATTTATTTGTACTTTACCAGGACATGCAAGGATTCCTTGCATGTACATAAACAAATTCACTTGAAAAGTAACAGTTATAGTTAAAGCAGAGCCAAATAAAGTAAATATTCATATTTAACAGACAAAATTTCAGCTAGCTTATGTCAGTTTTTCATTCTTCAGGCAATTAAAAAACCCACAGTAGTCTGTTATAAATAATAATAAAAAAAAATTTCGGGCACGTCTGAACTACATTACAGGGACCTGTTTCTGCTGTTTATTTTCTAAATGGAGCACAACAAAGATACACAGCTCTTCCCACAGACCAGACACTGTACTTTTTTTCTCTAATAGGGAAATATACTTTTAAATTCACCTCCCCCCC